ATATGCATAGAGGAAAGAGTGTTTAAAAGCTAGCTAAAAAATAAACTGTAAATTTTTATTATATTTTTTCGTTTAAAGTGAAGGTTAAACTTGTTTATAGTTATACAGTTTTTAAAAAATTGCGATTTTTTCACTGTTAAGGAATCCTGCCAAAATAGGTAATTTTCATATAAAGAATTTAATATACCAATACAAATGCTCATAAATGATTTTGACATGCTCAAATAAATTCTTCATAGATCTTTCATTTGATATATAATAACCGATACTTTAAAATCTCCTTCATGTTTAAAAAAGATGCATACAGTTGCTACCGCAAAATAATGTATTGTTTATAGCGCCATTTTTTAAAATTATTTTCATTGTTGCTTTGTATTTTTCTTTCCTTTAGATGGACCACAAGACTGCAAAAGATATTTGCGTTTTAATTAATTCATATAAATGCCAATCGAAGCCTTTGTTAAATGGTGACATTTACAAAATTTTTTCTGAAAATAATTTCAAATTATCAAAAACTTGTCTGAAATTAAAAAAACTGAACATTGGATCTCAAAATGCATCTGATTTTAAAATATTCTCCAACAATATAAGATACTTGCATAAAAAGATAAAAATCTTAAAAAAAAACCCTACCCAGTCATGGGCTGCTATTGTTAATTTTTTGCAGCAACCATTTAAATATGAAGTAAAAAAAAATAGTTCTAATACAAATATTCACTTAAACGTTGCAAGTGATTTAAACATTGCTTCAGACACAATGCAGAGAGTAAAGTGTGGTTCATGCAAAATAAAAAAAGATGAAATACGTAGTTTACAAGAAAAAAACAGAAAATTGCAGCAGAGAGTTCGTTTTTTGAAAAAATCAATGACCTGTAACAAGCTTACAAACAAAAAATTTAAAAGACAGTATTTTTCACTAAATTTGTGGAAATTGAAATATTCAGAAGAAAAAAAAAAAAAACATTTCAACAGAATAAGTTTCATTCTCTAGATTTCATTAATGAATTGAAAATTCTTAAAATTAGTAGAACAAAGTTGCAACAAAATGTTAAAAAGATAGAAAAGAAACACAAAATTGCGATCAAAAAGTTACAGGAACAGATAAAAATCAAAGAGTAAGAAAAGAAACAACTTGTAGAACAAAATCATTATTTAACTAGTATTGTTTTAGAAAAAAAAAAAGATAATAGGTTACTTATAGAAACCAAAAAATTAAAAACATATGATCTACCCATAAGAAAATGTGTTTATGCTGCTATTATTAACAATGTGCCTGTGGAAAGTGTCTTATTTTTGTTAGAAAAAATTTCTGAACTGTTACACAACACAGAACTGCAAGAAACACCTCACTCATCCACAGTAAATCGAATGGCATATGAGCCAGGTGTTTTAGCATTGGTTCAGGCTGGTGAGGCACTTTTTCATTGTGAATGTGCAACAGTAGTGTTTGATGCAACCACCGTTTTAGACAAACATGTAAATGAGTTCCTTATCAGTACTTATCCTCCGCAGAGATGTTATTCCTTATCAACCGCTAAACTTGCTGGAGGCACAGGATTTGACTGTGCCACTCATATTGTCAGTGTAATAAAAGAACTTGCCAATACATTTGCAGAGTTTAAAAATATGCCAGCAGTAGAAGTTTTAGATGTTTTCACTCAAAAAATCAAAAGTTGTCTGTCAGACAGAGCACCTGTTAATAGTTGTGTGAAAAACATGCTTTAGGAGGAGATGGACATTCAATTAATGCAACTGTACTGCAATGTTCATCCATTGGAAACTATTGCCTTAAAAGCATTATTAGCTCTTAAAACAATAGATAATGAGTTGAATATAAAACCAGCTAAAGGAACTGATGGGGTTGCAGTAACAGTCCTCAAAAATATTTCTAAGCTAAGGTAATCTTTTATATGTATATCTTTCATTATTTAAATTTTTTTTTAGTTTTATTTTCTTGTGAGCAATTCTTTATTATTTCCACGTTTTGAAAATTTGAAATTTTAATTTTTTTGCTCTTTAAAAATCAGGTATAGTTTTAAAGGCGATCCTGCAGCATTCAAAAGCTATCTTAAAAAAAACAATGTTGCTCCAGGGCTATTCCTTAGATATGTTGGTAGTAGATTTCATGTTTTGTTCCATATGGCAGGGATTGTTGTTACATTCGAAAGACTTATAAAAACCTTTCTTGAAAAGTAAGTTTTTTTTAGATGAATATTTGTTTTAATAGAATTCTATGTATTAACATTTTCTCGTTATTCTAGCAACACCAAAAATAAAATTTGCCAACTCTTACTTCAAGATATGAGTAATGATATAACGCTTGTGCAACTGCAAGGGTTGGGCCTGATAGGAAAAATAATAACTGAGCCATGGATGAGTCTGGTTTATAAAAATGCAACAGGAAAAAGTAATCTTGAGTTTGTAAGTTTTTAAGGTTTTTTAATAAACAAATAAAGTAGTTTAAAAAATGTAAAAAAATAATTTTTTTATTAGGGTGACATTTTCCAGAAAGCAATAAGGAAATCAGCTTACTTCAAAAGTAATCCAGAATCAATTCTTTATACAGATGTGGATATTTTTAGTCAAGTATTAAGTATCAAAAAAGATAAGGTACACCAATCCCTTCGTGTAATAAAAAATAAAAATATTTTGGTAAAGATTTTATCAGCTTTGATAAGCTGCACAGAGACAGTTCTCAAAAGACAGATGGCCAGGTATTTGACTGGCAATCTCTCAAATCCATCTAAATAAATGATAAAAACCACACTATCTGATCCACCTCATACAATGGAGGCTGAAAGGATCTTGGGCATGCTTGATTTTTTTTTGCGTCGTGCTCCTAATGCTACTTTTGGTTTTCTGGATTCTAAAATAAAAGCTAGGGTAAACAAAACATTAACATGGCTTGATGAGAAAACATTGCCAGAACAAGAAGATCTTATTCAATTTGTAATTCGCAGAGGAGCTTTAATGTGCCAAGCCTCTAAAAATTTTAATAATCTTTTGTATGAAGAAATAGGAAAAAGATGCGCCAAAGCTAATTTAAAAAAAGAGCGTCTGGAAAGAAAGTAACTAGAGAAGGATATTAAAAGAGCAATAGCTGAAAATGCCAAAACCACAAATCCTCTTTTTGTTAATATTGATGAAAAACAAAAACGAATTTTAGGAGTAATTTTGAAAAATGGAAACTTGATAGGGCAGCTCTTAAGCCATAAATGGAAGCTAGATGATGGTAATATACATTTATTTTTTGGTAGAATTGTTGATCAAAAGGTAGCAACAAAATAAAAATCTATTACATACACAATAGGATATTGGAAAGTCAATGAAGATGAAGCTGAAGATATTGACATAAGCCAGGAAGGAGTTATAGCAGATCTAATACTTAAAGGCTTGGAGTTCATTTAAAAATTACTATAATATATTAGGCATTATTATCTTTTATTTTGTTTATGTTGATTATTTTGTATACATTTTTATTTATTCCTTTTCGTTTTTAAATATTTTTATATTAACCAAGAGCAGACACAGGGTTATTTTACATTTCAGATACTGTACTTGGCATTGTGAAAACTCTAAGTATAAGTATGTTCAATCATATGTCAAATAAGAATGATTTGCTAAAAAATTGTGGTAATTAAAACTTAGGAACAAAACTATCTAAAAAAGATAGAACCCCCCTGTCTCAAATGTTAATTTAATGAGTAAATAAGTTTTTAAGTTTATTATCCAAAACTAAATTTAAATTCACATTTTTTAATGCTCAAAGGTTATGACCATGTGAAATAACTTTAAAAAAATAACTTTAAACATATCAAGAATTATTGGGTCTGTTGATGAATTTAAATGTAGTATAAAATAATAAGTAAAAGTGTTTTAATAACTTGGTCCCCTCACATTTTTATGTGGGGTACAAACTTTTTGGGGTATTTTTGTTCCTAGGCTCCAATCACTTCAATTTTTTATACAATTTTTTTACACATTCTCATTAGATTTAAGCATGAACAAACTTAAATTTAGATTAGTTATGGTAATTTTTTTAATAAAATGACTAGAATCGAATTTGACCCCCTTTTAAAATAGGCTTAAACACCCCCCCCCCCTCCTCTCTTTTTTTTTTTTTTTAATTTATTTTATATAAGTGGGATATAATAAACAGTTTTTATCATATATGTGACAGTAAATTGTTAATATTTTATGAACTATGTTATAAAGTCCACTTTTTGAAGTCATTTTCTTGTGTATCTTTGTTAAGATGTCCACTTTATTTTCTCTGCCTTCAAAATTGAATATCTTTTTTTATAGTTGACCCCAGATAATAAATTTGGTATAAAAATTTGTCATTTAATATTCTCTATATAATAGAATTAATTTGGTTTAAAAAATAAAAGTTTAAATTTTTTATGAAGGTACCTACATATATATGATACAAATTATACAAATATACAAGTAATTTGAACACAGTAAGCATATTTTTTATATTTATTTAAAAATGACTTTATGACAATTTTAGGTAAAAAAAATTAAGCCTAAGCTTAGTCTATATAAAGTGTTATCTAATAGTTTAAAAACTGATTAGTAATTGTTATAACACATACAAAATAAATAAAAAGTTATTTTTCAACTTAAAAGTTTCAACTTCAGAATTAATTTTTAACTGCAAAGTTAATTTCAAAATTTAAACTTTAAACTGTAAAATAACGTTATTTATCATTTTTAAGTTTAAGTTTTAAAATTAATTTTGAAGATTTTTAACTTCAAAATTAATTTTAAAACTTAAACTTAATTTTGAAGTTGAAACTTCTAAGTATGAGTTTTCTCCTAATTATTTTCAAGGAGTTATATCTATAATTTCAAATTTTTAGTGACTATATATATATATATATATATATATATATATATATATATATATATATATATATATATATATATATATATATATATATATATATATATATATATATATATATGTATGTATGTATTTATATATTTATAGATATATTTTTGTTCAATGTGTTTCAGTCATTTTAATTATAAAATATGAGCGAAGAAGAAAGTTTATTTCCTGAGTTGAAAAATGACTTGATATTAAAAGCTACTAGAGGAGAAAATGTTTCACGTGTGCCTGTTTGGGTAATGAGACAAGCTGGTAGATATTTACCAGGTAAAAGCCATTTAAAAGTTTATAAAAGTCTCAATTTGCAAATTGCTTTTTGTATATATGTATATATATTATTGTTCATTTTTTTACTTTGTATATTTTAGATTATTGTGTTATATAAAAAAATTACAATTCTAATAAAGAAAGTTAATAAAATCAAAAATAAAATTTCTCATTAAAATTAACTTGCTTACATTTTTTTAATAAATAAAGAATTCATATAGACATTTGTTTAGTTGTCGTTTAGTGATTTTTCGTAGGGTTGTTGTTTAGTGATTTTTCGAGGCTAGGTATTGATTTTGATCCACCCTTAAATTTAAACACAGCATTTCCTAATACATATACATCTGCATTTGAAAAATCACATCAAACTTTGGTAGACCAACACAACTTCACTTAATAATAAAATGCAACAACTTAAAGCATACTTGTCCTGTGATTAACCAGATATTATATTAGTAAGTGAAACATGGTTCAATGATAAAACAGTTTATGAATAGTATTGGGTACAACTGCTACAACAAAAACAGGCTGTTTGGTAAAAATGGTGGAGGAGTAGTGATTTATGCAAAATCAACATTTATCACAACAAGTGTTTGTCATTTAGCATTATGTGACAATGGAATAGAGCAGATATGGTGTAGTTTAACCAACAGACCAGAAGATTTTTTAATTGGATGTATTTACAGACTGCCAAGTAGCCCAGAAAGCATAAACACTAAAATCAATTCAGTGCTTGAAACAGCCAAAGGTCTGGTAGACCAAAAAAAAGTACACTGGATTAATTATAACTGGTGATTTTAACCATCCACACAAAGAATGAAATGAAGATGGTGGAACAAAACTGTATAATAACATAATTGTTCTAAAACTAAATTTCAAAAATAGTAAACTCAACGCTTATATAAACTAAATGTCATACAGGAATTTGTATAAACATGTTAATTACATGTATGACGTATTATACAAAAACTGAAACAAAACTGTGATATTAGTTTAAAATTTATTGATAATTTAAATGAAAACTTTATTGAACAATGTATTTTTGGATCAACATTTCAAATATCCGACCATGAACCTACAAACACTTGATTTACTAATGACAGATAACTGCAAAAGGATTAGAGACGTAAAAATAGACGCACCACTTGGACCAATTAAAAAAGCACATTATGTTATTCAATTCAAATATGACATGCAAGGTGCTGACACAATCCCTATACAAATCAATAGTAAAGATATAAATTACCAAAGAGGAGACTATGAAAAAATAAATCTTGGTTTTTATCTAATAAATTGATATGAATTATTCAAGGATTTAAACGTGGATCATTGCTACAGTGTTTTTGTACAAAAGTATAATGAGTTGATTGAATTGAATATTCCTAGGAAAAGAGCCAAGTATGATTAAAAAGTTAAAAAATACTCATGCATAACAGACGAAGTTAAAGCTTTAATACGTAAAAAGAAAAATTTATAGAACCAATTAAGAGCTGGTAAATTTAGATATCTGAATAAATTAAATAAGTACAAAACAGTAAAAAAATTAGTCTAAAGCAAGTTAATAGATTCCACTATTGATTATGAGAAAAAACTTATATAATGCATAAATAATGCAAAAAAAAATCTGAGACTACAGGGCGCGAAAAATCAGCGAATGTGCGAACGTCTACACCAAAAAAGACAGAAAAACAAATGTCTTGTTCCTTTACTTTTCCTAATGCAAACGTTGGCATTCGCCTAAAATTTTTTAAAACGAACGCGTTACTATAGCAATTTTTTTTCAAAACAATTAACTATTGATCGTTTTTTATTTATTAAAAAAAAAACACAAAAAACAATTAATTACGAAAATTTTAAAACCATTTTCAAAGACTTTAAAAGAAACCACGCTAAAGCTACTTTTTTCAATGGAACGAAGAAAGTAATTAGTTTGAGCATGGTTTTTGCATGCATTTAAAAATGCATTCAAAATTTTATTTAAAATGACTCCATTTGCAATTACGTTAAAAAAAACCATGCTTAAAAAACGATTGCTTTTTTTAATAGCGTGTTTTTTGTTTTTTTTCTTATTTTCCTTAAAGTGAAGTAATGTTAGTTTGCATTTTAAAACTTATAAATTTTTAAAAATAATGTTCAAGTTTTGCTAAAAAATATATAATCTAATAGAATATATAAAGTTATTATGTTTGTTAAAATTTTAATTTTTTTATTGTGCGTTTAACAACACCAATAATATGATATTTTTATTAACTTATTATTAAATACTTAATTACTATTATTTTTAAATTTTTTAAAAAATGTCAAAACAACTAAGAATATTTTCGATGTTAAAGAGAGATGATACAGAGGAATGTAATATTAAACGTAAAGGAGAAGAAGAGAGAGAAACTAAACCTGTGAAAAAAAATTTCAATGACTTGGATTGTGCTATGACTTTGGGAAAATTGGATATATGGCCAAAAGATATTGAATTAATGTTTTATAACACCGTAAATGGATTGCCGCCAAGCAAAAAAAAACACGGGCAACAACTAAGCTGGATTCATATCGACAAATCAAAAGAGTGTTTCTCTTGCTGGGTTTGCCAAATATTAGCAATGTTGATAAAATAGGGATTTAATGAAATAAAAAGTGTTTGCAACTTTTATGAGAACAATATTATGATAATCAGATAAACTTCTATATTTATTATTATTTATGTTTTGTTTGTTATTATTTATGTATTTATTGTTATTATTTATTAGTTATGTTTCTTATTATGTCTATTGCAGTGGCCTTTATTCAGGGAGAAAGTCTCTAAACTAAGGATAAATTCACTTTTAAGCATTTATAAAGATATTTTGCTGGAAAATGAACATGAATTAGCAAGTATAAAGGTCTTGTTAGAGATTATGCTAACTTTCAGCGCTTCAAGGCAAGTTGCGAACGCAGTTTTTCTTGTATGAACTTACAAAAAAATATTTTGCAAACTTAATTAAATGACGATACCTTAGAAGATATTATGCGTATAAAGCTTGATGGCCAGTTAATTGAAGACTTTTTGCCCCAAAAACATGTCAAAAATTGGGTTGACGCAGTGGTTGGTATTAGACATTTGAAAGGCCATAAATTAAAAAGTTCTAGCGATTTTCAAATCCATTTATATAAATATAAAAATTAATATATATTTATAAATGAGATGTCATTTTTCAATTTATTTCTTTAGTTTCTTTTATTTTAATTTCTTTACGTTTATACGTATATTTTATGAGTAAATAAATTTAACAAACTAAATTAAAAAAAAAGTTTTGCATCATTGAATAACAGTATACAATCATTGCATATTAAAAATCAATAATTTGCGCGCACTTTGCAAATGCATGAAAAATTGTTTCGAAAATATGATAATTGATTAAATTCAATAACCATCTTTTATATATCCAAAAGCTTATTAACTAGAATAAAAATTTATTTGAGTATAAAACTTATAATCTTATATATTATTTGACACATATCACTTTAATTAGTCATTCGTCAATAATTTAAGATACGAACGTCAACGTCTGTGAAAAAAAAAAGATTTGTCGCGCCCTGGACTATTCTACAAATACGTGAAAAAGAACCAAAAAAACATCAGTAAAATAGAATCAATGAAAAACTGTGCAAATGTACTCACATCTGACAGACATGAGATTGTTTATATATTGAACAAAATTTTCAATCGGTTTTTGTTAAAGAGCATGGTGAAATTCAGGAGTTTAAACCACATATTACAAAACCTTTTGAATGGGATTGGATAAATGTTGTTACAAATGAGGCAGTTCAGAAAAAACTGATTTTTTTGGTAGTGATGGTATTAGTCCTTACATACTTAAAAATTGTTCAAGTAGTGTAGCAACTCCATTCAATTGATTTTCAGTAAGAAGAATGGAAAGAAGCAAATATCACTCCAATATTTAAGAATGGAAATACAACAGACCCGCTTAACTACAGACCTGTATCATTAACATCTACACCATGCAAAGCTATGGAAGCATTTATAAAAGAAGCGATAATAACTTTTCTGATGGAAAATAAATTGCTATCAAAAAATCAACATGGCTTCATAAAAAATAAAGTCTGTGTAACAAATTTGCTAGAAACATTAGACATTTTAACAGCAAGCATAAGTGACAGTTTAGCAATAGATATGATTTGTATGGATTTTACCAAAGCCTTTGATAAGGTTCCACATTGAAGACTGTTGAAAAAGTGTGAAGCATATCAGGTCTTCTCGTAAGAGGCGTGCGATCGGACGCTTCATATGACCACGCATATAGTTCTTTGTTTAAACAACTTGACCACGGCTCTTTGTAAGTTTTGATAATTGGCGCATTTAAAAAATGCACTAAAAAAAACAAATCAAATGTAAATGGGATTTTTAATTGATTCCATAATTACAATTCAACTGCCACGAGTACTTTAATGAAACTTAGTAAAAGCAATCGTTGAATAAAAATTCAGATTAGAGTTTAAGGCAAAATGAGTACAGAAGCTATCAAAAAATAATTACAAACCATTTTATCATGGAAATATAATTTCTAATAAAGAAACTATTGACTAAAAAAAGAAAAATTATTTACTATAAAAAAATAATCTTAAAACAGTCGCATTTGCCAACTGTTTTTTTATCCCAGGGCGTGACGTACCGTTTTTTTTTAATGAACGTTGACTTGGGTATCTTTATTTATTGACGAACGTCTAATTTAAGAGGTTTATGTCAAACAAATTTCAAATAATTTTTATTTTAGTTAATAAGTTATCAAATATATCAAAGATGCTTGGTAAATTAATTCTTTCAAAAACTTTTTTTTACACATTTGCAAAGCGCATGCAAATTAATGATAAATGCACAATAAAAAAACTTTTAAAAGTGTTTTTAATATGCAAACAAACATTATTTCACTTTATAGAAAATAATAAAATTAAGAAAAAAAACATGCACAATTTTATTTATAATGAAATCATTTGCTTTAAAATTTTAATGTAATTGCTAAAAACAGAAAAGAAACCATGCTTCAGCGTTATGATTGCTTTCTTCAATAAAAGAAAGCAATCGAATTGTTTTGGACGGTTTCTTTGGAAGTTTTTGCAAAAGGTTTTGTTTTATGTAAAATTATGAATACTTTTGTGAGCGCATGCAAAAACCATGCTAAAACATAATTACTTTCTATTTATTTTACTTAAAAGTGATGCTATTGAAAAAAGTAATTATGTTTTGGCATTTTTTAAAAAAAGTCTCTGTAATTAATTGTTTTTCATTTTAAATAAGTGTTTTTTGTAATAAATAAAAAACTAATGATCGCAAAATTATTTTGAAAAAATGCGTTCGTTTTGAAAAATCTTAATCAAACGGCAATGTTTGTATAAGCAAAGTTAAAGCAAAATTATTTTATCATTCTTAAAATATTTTACTTTTTAAGGTTAATTTTTGTTATATATTTATATTATTTTAAGGATTTTATTCTCTTTTAAGTTTAAGGATTGCTTAGTTTAATTTGCTTTGTTTTTTTTAGCGCAATTTTTTAAACGCGCTAATTATCAAAACTTGCAATGAGCTGTGGTCAACTTGTTCGAATAAAGAACTATATCCGTGGTCATATAAGGCGTGCGATCGCATGCCTCTTACGAGAAGGCCTGCATATGGCATCAAGGGTGTGCTAAATGACTGGATATTATCTTTTTTAAAAGAAAGAAGGCACAGAGTTGTGATGGGTGTAAACGTGTCTCCATGGCTTGAGATTTTTAGTGGTGTGCCTCAAGGCTCTATGCTTGGTGCTTTGTTATTCTTGATATTCGTAAATGATCAACCATCAATTATTAATTCCAATTGCAAATTATATGCAGATGACAACTAATTAAAGTTATAAAAAATGTTGAAGATCATGAGACTTTGCAGAATGACATTAATGAATTTGTAAAATGGACGGATATCTGGTTGACAAAGTTGAACATCGAAAAGTGCAAGGTGATGCAAGGTAAAAAGAATCCACAAATGAGTTATTGTATGACCCATGAAGGTAAAAAGCACAAATTAAAGAGATTTAGTGAAAGAGATTTAGGAGTAATAATTTCATCCAACCTTAAGTTGCATGATCAAGTGACTTCATTAACAGCAAAAGCGCAAAGAACTTTGTGTCTAATTAAATGTACGTTTACATACTTTGATGTGGAAATGGTGAAATCACTATATATGACATTTGTGAGACCGCTTCTTGAGTTCGCTATACCTGCATGGCAGCCTTATTTATAACGGGATATTGATGAGTTAGAGAAAGTGCAAAGAAAAGCAACGAAGTTAGTTCCACAACTTAAAAAGATTTCATATGAAAAAAGACTGAAAGCAATCGGTTTAACAACATTGAAGAAAAGACGAGCTAGAGGAGATCTTATACAACAATACAGATTCAAGCAAAATATAGACCAAATAAATTGGTACAAAAATCCAAATGGCATCATCCATGACTAGTTTAGGCGCGACTTTTTCTGTAAGTGGAAATAAATACAGGTTAGAAAGAGAATACTTACCATCATGTTTACGAATGAGTTTGTAAAAATTGGAATTTGTTACCAAATGAAATCATTAAATTAAGATTGTTGAGTGTTTTCAAAGCACGAATAGATGAACATTTTTCATATCTTGTGTTTTTTTAAATTGTGTTTGCTGTCTATAACCTGATGCTTGCATCGTGTTCCTCAATTTATTTTATTTTTAAATATTTATATTTAAACAAATTTGTATATTTGAAAAACGATGTTATATACTTTAGTTTTAAAAGCACATAAGGAACATAAACTTTAAACTTTTCTAACAGAAAAATTACTAAGCAGTTGACAAAATATTTACAAAAAGTAATTTAACTATTTGAAATCAAATATTTATGTTAGGTTAGTGATTTCAGCTGTGGATTTTAGATTGAAGGATCTTAAATTTTTACCTGGCTCTAGCTATAAAAACATCATTAGTGAGAACTCCAATTTTCCCAGATGAAAATTGGAGTTCTCACTAATGATGTTAAAAAGATTTTCCTATGAGCTCAGTGATGTATCCTTAGTATTAAATTTCTTTTTCTAATTTCTTACAAAAAGTTTTTTTAATAATTATATCATTCAAAATGTCTTGATAGAGTTGTATCATCTTGTTTTATAAATAAACTAGTTAAAATTGTATTGTATTGGGAAATACTCTCCTTATATACAATATTCACTCAAAAATAAAATTCATTAAAATAAAAAAGAAAAGCTTATCCAATTCTATAAATCATTTTTAATTATTTCTTGCACGATTTCAATTTGAAACTGCAATTATGTAAGTGAAGTGAATTATTAGTGTATTTTTAAGGTTATTTTTATTATATAGTTTAAGGTTTAAGATATGTTTAAGAAGGAAAGTTGATCTTTTTTTAAGTTTAAGGAAATATAAATTTTTTGAAATTATTATACTTAAACTAACAATAGAAGAATATTTTGATTTTCAAAAGTTATATATATTTGAAAAAATTGTTAAAAAATATAAATTTTTCAAAGATTTACCTGAGATATTAATAGTTTAACAGGCATATGATAAATTTTACGGAAACATTCAATTACTTTAAATTGTTTTTGTTTAAAAAGTTTTGATTTAAGTTTTTTTTTCAAATGATCCTTTTTGAATTAAGTTTTTCAGTTTTTTCAATTTAGAGTTTCGTAATCTTAGAGTTGAAAATGAGTTTTTTGATGTTTGTAGAACACCATCTCTGGCATGTGAAGTCACTATGATGGCAAGTAGAAATTAGATATCTTTTTTTTAAATTTGAATATAGATTATAGGATAAGCACAAATGTAAAAAAAAATTTTTTTTTAAATTTGTTCCAGTCTTTTTTAAATTTTATTTGATCTTAGACAGTTGTTTTGTATATCGCTTTATTAAAAATTAGTTTATTTAACTCATATAAGTATGTTTTTTTTGCTTTATATTTTTCTTTTTCTTATTTCTTTTTTACAAACATAATACAAGTTATAACATAATCAGCTAAACTTAAGTTCTGAAAGTAAGTGAAAAATTAAAATTAGTACCACAGAAATGTTATTTCTTTAAACTTTGAGTTTTTTTAAATTCACACATGTTATTTTTATAATAATTCAATATAATTTTCAGCCTATCAGAAAATATGATCTTGATGCTGCTATAATTTTTAGCGATATCCTTGTCATACCACAAGTAAGCACTTTCATTAGTTTTTTTGTTTTTCTGTCTGTTGTGTTCTGATAAGATTTATTTAAGATTCTGAAATCTGCTGTAAATGTGTAATGATATAATTTATTTGTTGTTAATTGTTTAAATGTAAGTGATTTTAATAATCCATCATTGCAAACACCATAAAAATGTAGAAGACTTATTGTGTCACAGTTTTCTTTTTAAAATTAATTTTTTTAAATTACAATAATTATTAACCATACTTTTTTACTATTCACTACTTTTGAGCAAGTAAAGATATTTGTAAAGGAGAAAAATGCAATTTGATTTTTATAATTTTTCTTATATACAGGCTTTAGGAATGCAAGTGGAAATGCAGAAAGGAAAAGTAATTTATACATATTTTTTAATATGATATTTTTTTATATGGTATTCAAATAGACTTTTTTTTATATTTTATTCTTATTTTTATTCTTTTTTTTTTTTTCCCCATTTTTTTTGATTTTTTAAATACAATTTATAGGGTCCTGTTTTTCCAAAACCATTGCTTGATGCAACTGATATAAAGGTTTCAAAAATTTTGTTTAGTTTTATATACTAATAAATTTTGTAATACTAGAATTAAAAGTTGTTTAAATGTTTCTTTTTTGTTTTATTATTTTATTTTATGATTTTTATTTTATTTTATGCTTTTGAAGCAAATAAAATACTTTTTACTGTTAATCATTTACAATTATTTAAATTAAAATTAAAAAAAAAAAATGTTGCTTCTGAGGCAAGCGCGCTACGGATACTTATTCAAACATAGCAGTGGACTTATGACCTCAAAATCATTAGTTCTTCCCTTTTATTGGTAACTTTATTTTAAATAGTTTAAATTTAGCATAAAAAGTTTCCTTACTTTTCGCCTTTCATTTATTAATAACATCTTTAAATCAAGAACAAATTGTAAAATACTGCAAGTATTTATATCAAATTTTTTTATATATAATTTTTTACAGTTTTCAGTAATTTGCCAGTCAATTTAATAGATATTTACAGATATGGCAATGAACATCAATATGCATTGCAAATAACAGGATAAAATAGTTTTATAAAATTTTGAAAACAAATGATCATAGTTGCTATTTATAGTTATAATAAAAAAAATCAAAAAACATTTTAAATTTTGTATAATCTGCTTCACAATATTTTACCATAAAATTGTCCTTAAAAACTGCCTAACTAATGAATAAAATTTTACTGATTAATTATATTTATCTCTTATTGAATATTTCCAAAATTTTTTGAAAGTTCATGGAGTTTTTTTAAGTAAAAAAATTTACATAACTTTTATAAATCGGTAATGCAATTCAATGTAAACTCACAAGGTTTTCGAGAGAAAAAAACTCAATAAAACTTCAAGTCTATCTAAAAAAATGTGCAGTATTGAGTTTAAACTATTTCATTTAAAATACAAAGATCTACGATGATAAAAATTCTGAATATTAAAAAAAAAAACTACAACTTCACTAGCCTAAAATAAAATAAACTGGGAAAACATAACATATATTTCCATTGGATAATTGGGTTCCGTACATTTTTACTCTCGGCATTTAAAGAACTATCTTTTTCCTGTGTTCCTTTTAACAAAGCAAATATGAATATATGAAAATATTGGTGAAAATTATTTGTTTAACTTTTATTTCAAAAATTTGATCAGACAATGTCCGACCAAAATAACTTTTGGTTGGATATATAGTTATACAAATAATGATTTATGCCATAATCATTATTTGATATTTTCTAGAAAAAGTTTAACAAATGACATCCTTTTAGATGTTTTAGAAATCAGGAAACTGACATTCAGTAATTCTATCTTGTCGTTATCTAAGGGTAATTCCATTGGTAGTTTTCTGTAGGCTATCAGTAGTTCTAACTACATCACTTAGGGGTTTACTGTTCTAGATTACGGAAATCATCTTACTATTATTCCAAAAATAATGCTTTATATCAAAATTGTTTTTTCTCCTAGGTAAACTATCTTTACCACTAGTCAGGAATTTTGTCTATCGCCCAAGTTATTTTTCAATTAGTTTAGTTGTACTGACGAATTCGCCCCGTAATTGACGAATTCAATAAGTTTTACGCTAAAGTAACTTTAGAATTTATTTTGATTCAATACATTAACAAAGAGACCCTAATTAATAGAAAAGTGCTTTTAAACTACAAAAGTTTACTTATTTATATGCAATCTCATTTTGTTAAAGTAAAACATGACAAACTCGCCCCGCTTTACCCTATAAAATTTATAATTATTACATAAAATAAAAATTATGCAATAATTTAGAGTTTTATAATTTTATATTTTATCAATATAGTTTATAGTGTAATAACTTAAAATTTATCAGTTTGTCTAATCTAATCATAAACATTGGCATTTCAATCAGTGCTCTTTTTAAAATATATATATATTTTTTTGCAACAATTGTGCCTTTTAAAAAGCATTGCTGTTTATTATGTTTTTAATATAAAAATGATTTTGCGTTTTTATTTAAGTTACAATGGTATTCCTTTTTTTTTATAAACAACTTTGGGAGCTTTACCATATTGTCATTAAAGTTATAGTTATATTTCACAGTATTTCACAACAAGGATTTTAGGAAAAGAAATATCTCTGCACTGCATATCTGTGTTTAAAGTGTTAAATATCATAATTATGTAATGATATAAACTGTAAAGTTGCTGTTAGCAAGTATAAAAATCTCAAGCATACAAAAAATATATATTTTATAAATACACATGTTAATAAATACATGTTACAAACACATATGAATATATATTAATTAATAATGTCTTATAAATACATATAAATATATATGTTATTAATACAATTTATTTGTTATAAATATATATTTTAGCAAGCATACAATCTCAAGTCCTACAAAAAAATAAGTTGTAACAAAAATAAATAAATAAATAAACAATCACATTTTGTAAGTAACAAAAGTCAATCTGACAATCTCAAACTTTGTCTTTTTTATTTAAATTTTTTTTTTTTATATGACAAAATTATACTTTTGCAAGATACGTAAATTGCTTCTGTTAACCATTTTGGGGAGTGTGGGCGAAAGCAAGAGCTAAAGCTCTAGCTTCCGAGCGAAGCCTTTGTATATATATATATATATATATATATATATATATATATATATATATATATATATATATATATATATATATATATATATACATATATATATATATATATATATATATATATATATATATATATATATATATATATATATACATATATATGTATATATATGTATATATAAATATATATATATATATATATATATATATATATATATATACATATATATATATATATATATATATATATATATATATATATATTATATATATATATATATATATATATATATATATATATATATATATATATATTATATACACAGCCCTCGGAATTAGGGTCATCATTCAGCAATGTCTACCTAAAAGTTTTATTCCAATTCTAAATTATATTTTAATTCTAAATAAAATAGTTAAAATAAATGCCAAAAACTAAAATTTTATTTAAGTTCTAACATAAATACTTCAAAAAAAAAAATAAACATAAAAAAAATCTTTTTTTTCTTAGTTCCTAATAAAATAATTCAAATAAAATGGCAAAACAAACATCCTATTTTTAATCCAAATTCTTGGTTGACAAAACTTTAAAACAGGGTTTGACAAATTGACAAATATATATGTGAATCTTTAGTGTAAAATTGAGTTCTGAAATTTAGTAAAATGCTGAGTTCACTGACATTTGCTTAAAAATATGGAAAATGAACAAAAGGTTAGTTGGTAGTTTTTAAACACAGTTTATTTAAGTTGAAAAAACAAAACAGTTAAATTAAAAACGAAAAAATTAACATTTTATTGTTTCTAAAAAAAAACTTTTTTTAAAGTTGAATTAAACAACTTTTGTAACAAAAACTTTTGTAACTTTTGTAAAAAAGTTTTTTTTTATTTTAATTATTTTCTTGACACTTCAAATAAAAAAAAATACTATGAGATTATAAGTTATAGGGAAAACAATTTATTATAAAACATTATTAGAGTAATAGTATATGCGGTAGTGGTGTAGTGGTTAGAGCGCTCGCTTTGTAAGCGAGAGGTTCGGAATTCGACTCCCACCATGTTTCTGGAAGTACTGTGCTCAACTTAATTTCTCCGCGCAACGGCCTTGCTTGTCAAGGTTCATGTTTCGGAGTTAAAGAGTTTGAGAGAGGGTTTTACCACAATTTACAACAACAAAAAAAAAAAGAAGAGTAGTCTCCTCAACTGTAGTGGCCCTCTCGGGCCTTGGGGCGGTGAATAATTAAAAAAAATAAAATAGTTTTCATTATTTTTGATGTTAAGTTTGTGATATTGCGATATATTCTTACAATGTGTTGTTTGAATGTTAAGTTTATGATAATGTGTTATTGGAAGTTAATTTTGTAATATTGCTATGTTTTGATTGAAATGTATATAATGACCAAAGATAGCATTATAAGTTTGATCAAGTTAGCTGTTTTCCTTTAAATCAGATGCTAGTTTTTATTTTTATTAGTTTGTTTTTATAATATGAATAAACAAAATAATTGTCTGTATAATTTAAATTAAAAAAAAAAATTTAATTTGTTTCTACCCAAATTATTCAAATGTTCAAAGCTTAAGTGACCAATTTTATTCTAGACACATTTTAACAGCGTTAAACGCTTATATATATATATATATATATATATATATATATATATATATATATATATATATATATATATATATATACATATATATATATATATATATATATATATATATATATATATATATATATATATATATATATATATATATATATATATATATATATATATATATATATATATATATATATATATATATATATATATATATATATATATATATATACACACACACAGTATGATAAAAAAAAATGCAGCAAACGATTCTTTTTCAAATTTTTTATTTCTAAACTTAAATAGAATACTAATAAATAGTTTTTTTTGGGAGAGAAATACTTTAAATTAAAGAAGAAATGTATTTAGTTTAATATTTTATTTCCATTTTATAAATTCCATAATCACATTTTTTTAAATTTTTAATAAATGTAAATTGACTTTAATTTAAAGTGCAAAATAAAAATTGCAGCAAATTTTTTTTCTGAAGGAACTTAATGATAAATCACATTTTAGTATTAATAAATCACATTTTAGTATTTGGTGGGTCCACCTTTAGCCTGGATAACAGCTTCACATCATCTTGGCATTGATTCAACCAAACTTTTTGTTTCTTCTGGCATAATATTTGCCCATGCCGCTGTCGCAGCCTCTTTAAGCTCCTCTTTCTTTCTGAGTGACCAATCTCCAATTTTTCTGTTTAGAATAGCCCACAAATGTTATATGGGGTTTAAGTTTGTGCTTTGTGTGGGCCATTAAAAGACTTTCACACTATTACCAGTAAACCATTTTGTTGTATCTTTAGCGGTGCGTTTGGGGTCATTGTCTTGCTGGA